GTTTAAATTTTATATTAAATTTTAAGAAAAGTATAAAATAACAAAAATGAAATCTAGATCACAATTTTGTTGCAATATAAGTTTACACAAATCTGAAGTAATAAAATTTAGTAAAGAAAAAAGAACGAGTAGTTAAGATTCAGGCAGTGTCTTGTTAGATATTTATTTTAAAGCCTTAAATACTAAATTAAGTCAGAAATCCAAAATACACAAAGTTTTAAAATACAGGTGTGTTACAATCATTATTATCTTTGAGTGTGGCTACAACATCACTTGCTAAATGTGCACAAGTACAACTTATAATGGTAGACAACAAATCTAAATTAATGATTGTTGCAGGTTTGAAGATCCCAAAGACAGTTTTTCATAATATCATTTATCACATCAATTCAACAAATGGCAGAAAAATCCAGTGTAAGACCAAGAATTATCATTCCAAAAGCTGACAACATGATTATAATTTGGCTGTAAAGGGCACACAGTTTTCAAGCTCACAAGTTTTTACTAAACTGTCTTATTGTGTTTATGTTAGAGTGTACACAGTTTGAAAATGTTTTACCAAGGACTTTCATTTTCTATTGTAGCATGCAAAAGAAAATGAAAGTCCTTGGTAAAACATTTTTTCAAAAAAAAAAGTGTGGTTTCAATGAATGGTTTTAATGTTTGAAGAGCTATGTATTTAATTGGTTTTGAATTAGAAAGGATCTTATTTCAAGCATTATGCAGTGTGCTGTTTATGTATGTGTTAAGCAATATTACGTAAAAAAAGTTTGTTACAAAAGTTTGAATGACAGTTACGTTTGATACAAGTGTTATTTACAAATAAAATAAATTAAAAAAAAAAAAATTTGAATTCTTTAATTTTATTTTAACATAAGTTTTATTTTGTATTATTACTTTGTAAACATGTTTTAAGACTGCATCAAATATTTGCACAAAACATATGTTAAACTTTTTCATAAGTCAAGCGAATGCACAATAATATATATTTTAATAAATATAACTTGGAAATCAAATCTTTGCTTTCACAACAATCTCACTGTTAAGTAGTTAACTAAAGTTATTGTTTTTGCAATAAGTTTCATTTTTTACTTTTCACTCACTAGCTTTTAAAGGGATCCCAAACTCCCAACACATGTTGTGTTCATATTAAAGATAAGGTTAAAAAAAAAGGTTTGAACCAAATTTTTTTGATTAAAAATGTGAAAAACAAATGTTGTTGTTTTTGACGAAGCTCGTCTTCTCCATTTTTTTCAACTACTCGGAGTCTTCAAATTATGCGTCGCAATCTACAGACTTTGGCAATTCCTTTAAAGCGCGTTTAATTCATAAAAGTTTTAGTATTTGACGTCACGGTAGACTTTTAACAAAAGAAAAGTGTAATTAAACTAAGCTGCGTTTTTCTACTGTAGTATTTTTTTAACATACAGCAAAACAAATTTATTTGTATTATTTTTCCAAACATCGCAAAAAAAATTTTGTAAAAATTAAAAATTAAAAACAATAAATTATTTTTATTTTATAGGAGCAACTTATTTTTTACAGATATCTTAATAATTTTTAGATTTATATATCTTACTTATATTTCTTTAATTATTTAAATTAAAACAAATATTAAAGCTTTACTTACCAATCTCATGATTTTCATACGAGTATTTTACATTATATAGAACGTTTTATATACGGTCTCTTGTTTTTGCGCAAGAGAGCGCAGTATTATATATTCTGATTCTTAATTATTTTTATTTAAACAATGGGAACTATTTTCTAACTTCTCTGGTTATTTTTACGCTATGACAATTTTTTGTTTTCCCGTCGAAAAAAAGTATTTATTAACAATTACTTTCATAAACTGAAAGTATTAGTTAGAGATATTTAATGAATTGTTAACTTTTTTTATTATAAAATTTTTTTGATCACGCTGATTTAATTTAAATTGCTAAATTTGCTGAATTGGATACGGATAAAAAGGAAATACCATTTTATTTTACATTTGATTTTTGATAATGAAATTTTTAAAGTGTCAGCAACTCTATATCAATTAGAACCTGTTAAGATTATGAAAAAAAAGTACAAGAATACACTAAACAATACAGTTGACAGTAGTATCAGATATGAAAATTCGTGAAAGGATTTGTGACATCCTGATTTTGCATTAAAAGTACAATTAATTGCAACACAAGTCGGCATTAGAAATTTTGATTATAAGTTTACTGTTCAATATTTTATAACCATCAAATAAAAAACATAAAGTTTGTATATTTTCGCCCGTTTTATACAACTAATATTTAACAAAAATGCGGACAAATTATTATTAAATAACGCAATAATTAACACATTAATTAAAGGCAATAATTCAAGATAGATGGTAATTTAAATTGTTAAAATGTCATAACGCGGATTAAAAAACATATTATATTTGGTATTTCCAAATTTGTGTCGTAATTGGCATTTGTCTCTTAACATGAAAAATTTAAAATTTTTAAAAACACAATTAACAAATACAAATTTTCAAGCAATTTTCTCTTCCAATTCTCATTTATTCAAAGAAAATTTACTATTAAACTTTTATTTCTCTCATCTAAAAAAAGAATAAGTGAAGCAAAAAAAATATATATTCTATACAACTCTTATTCATTCATAGTTTAATTGCGCAAAACTTTTCTTTCTCTTTTGTTCTACTCTTTTATAAAAAGAGAGCCCGATGAAATAAAAACTTTTCTTTTTTAACAACAATTATCAAATAAACAACACAATCTCGCATAATTTTAGGGGCATTTTTATTTTTATTGCTTAGTCGTTCTAAATAATAAGTAAATTTAGTTCAAGTTAATAATTCAATATTTACAGTTGCAATAGAATAAAGAAATAATACTGAACTTTTTATTTAGTTATTTATTTTTTTACCTACATTTGTTATAAAAAACTTTAGAACCCCCGTCATTAAAATAATTTGTTTTAAATATATTTCGACCTGATTATTCAAACTAATTTTTTTCGCTTGACTTTCCGAACTTCATGCAAAGCAAATTGAAACGAAATATCGTCTAACCAAATAAAAAAAACTGTTACTAATTTTATACGGGTAATTAATGTAAAACAATTTTTGAGATAATAAATATTCATAATTTATAAACATTAAATATATGGCGCAATAACAATTTATAGCAACGAACCAGCATAAAATATTTAAGGTTTTTAATATCTTTTTAAATATTAAAAGTAGAAAAAAAACAAAAAAACTAAACAAATAATCAAAAAAACTTCGACAAAAAATAAATAAAAATATTTCTAGAGTTTAATTTATTAAAAGTCTACCGTGACGTCAAATACTAAAACTTTTATGAATTAAACGCGCTTTAAAGAAATTGCCAAAGTCTGTAGATTGCGACGCATAATTTGAAGACTCCGAGTAGTTGAAAAAAATGGAGAAGACGAGCTTTGGCAAAAACAACAACATTTGTTTTTCACGGTATGCATTCATTATTTATTTTTAATCAAAAAAATTTGGTTCAAACCTTTTTTTTTAACATTATCTTTAATATGAACACAACATGTGTTGGGAGTTTGGAATCCCTTTAAAAAATAAAATTTCTTTATTAGTTGCAAAGCTGCAATTACAATTTTAAGAAACAATAACAAAAAAAATTAGCATTTTTTTTTATTATTGTTTATCACACCTCTCCACAACGGTGTTTATGTTTCAAAAAAGTGCATAAGTCCAAATTATGTTTTTCTAGCAATTTATGATTATAGTGTACCCAATAAATTTCAAAAAAATTTAAAAAGCGTCCTGAAAAAAAACACGATGTTTATTATGATTTAAAAAAAGTGTGTTTTTCTCTTATTAACATATACAGAAAAAACAACTGGTTTAGAATGAAGTTTGTAGAAAAACTTATTTAAGACTAGTAGCTAATAAGCTAACTCTTTAATAAATTATTTAAAATAACATTTATATTTCATATCAATAAATCAAAGAAATTTATTAAAATAACTAAAAAAATATTTTAGTTTAAACATTTTGTTAGCTGATATAGACTGAACATAAAGCCTCAAATTCTCTCCGCGATGTATGAAAGTACAACACATGAAAGATAGTTTTTATATGTTTATGTGGAAATCACTGTATGTTTATGTAGAAATCACTCAGAAATTTTTATCTGGAAAACTCACTAAATCTTGAGTTAATAGCTTCTCCTACTTATTCGCTGTAAATTCCCAGTCCATATCCATTATTTCTACAAAACTCCTTTAGATGGCAAAATAATATATGCAGTTTGGTACTCTTTGTTTTGATATTCAAAGTAATAAAAATATCAAGAAAATTATCTATCACTTCTTCAAAATCCATACTAAGTATTTAAGTATCTAAGTATCTTGCTAAATTACAAGTAAGCATTAAAACTAAAACACAGTATCAAATGCATCAAAGGCATCACAAAATCCCCTAAGATCATCAAAAAGAGCATTTGTTAATCTTATCATTTTCTTACACTGGTTTCTTTCAAACTCTTTACCTTGAAGTTTTTGTTTGACAAGGGAATTCTTTTTTAGGAAGATTTCCCATTTTTCTTGTCCATATCTTGTTGATAGGTTATTTCACAATAAATTAACTGTTCCTGTATAAAGTTGAACTTTGGGTATATTGCATACTTCCATAACTTTAGTTTCATCATCTCATGGCAGAAGTGATTGATTCTTGCAATTAAAAAATTTGTTAAGTGATGAGTCAGAATTACATCTTTGTTTTCGAGCAAGATTTGCTGGTCCAAAGGTTTGTTTATCTCCTGTAGAGTAAAGCTAATCTACGCAATCTGTACTCTTATTACAGAAGCAACAAGGATACTTTGAATTGTGCTTTTGAAGTTCTAAAATCAAGTTAAGTAGCTTCAAATCCGCGCAAAGTGTAAATTGAATAAAGTTGATACTTTTGAGTAAAACAGCATATTTTTCACAATTCTCTAATCTTTCAAATTTCTAATTATATAATTCTAATT